GGGGGAGGTGGTGAGGCAGCAGGATGGCAGATTCAAGGCCAGCTGAGCAACATGGTGAGACCCCATCTCAAAATAAAATAGAAAGAGCATGTTGCTGGGTTGGGGTCAGCGTCAGTGTCGGTACCCGCCTCTGCACAGCAGGCCTCAGGGCACAGGGCAGCCTCCATGGATGCCCGGCTCTGCACCTCACCCCAGAGCGGTGGGGACAGAGGAGGAGTGTGCTCTTGTGTCCTGAGGCTCTCTACATGCTGGGGCATGCAGGAGGGCACAGGACATGTCCCTTTGTAAAAGACAGTCACGCAGCACAGAGGGCATCCGCTCACTTCTGACCCCACAGCGTGGGCTCCCCCTGGAGGTGGGGGTTGCTATCTGCTGAACACCCAGCGTGCGCCAGGCCTGGAGGCTTCCAGCTGGCCAGCCCAGGGGGTGCCCTGGGGGGACATGCCCCATTAACAGAGGGGAAGACTGAAGCCCAGAGAGACCAAGTGGCTGCATGGAGATAAGCAAGAGCAAGGGCTGGGCTTGCACTTGGGTGTCCCTGGCACCAGGTGTGCAAGTAGCCACTGTCCCCCCCAGAGGCAAGCTGGAGGGTGAGGACACATGCTAAGAAGCCATCATTCAGGGCACCCCGGGCTCCTCAGAGGCCAGTGTAAGCCTGCTCATTTTCTGGAAGGTTCTTCAGGCTGTGCCTGCATGCCATCAGCTGGCTGGCTAAGGACATTATCAGGTTGCAAAGGCAGTTTCTCCAGAATAATCTGCCCGTCCGCCCTGGTACCCACAGAAGAACCCAGGCCCAAGATGCGGGGCAAGAGTGGGCCCAGCCTGGAGCAAGGCCCCGTTCAGTACTGTGAGACCAGAGTTCCAGTCCCCAGCGGGGAGCTCACCGCCACGCGGCGCTCTAGGGCGTGGGCAGGTGGTGGCGGTGGTCCCTGCGCCGCAGACACCACGTGGAAGAAGGGGGCAGAGCTCCGCTGTGCCCCGCTGGGTCGGAGGCCCTGTGGACAGCAGAGTGGCCCTCACATCCGTCCCAGCAGCTGCCCATCTTGTCCCCCTCAGACCAGACCTGAGGGTGAGGGGGAGACCACTCTAGGCAAGCAGGGCGCACAGTAGGTGCTCAGTGAATCCTGGGGGACCCATCCTGTTTCTAGGAGAAACGAATGGTAAAGCCACTGTGGCTGTGTGACGCCTGGGGTCCTCCTCGGGGGCCGCCGGTGGCCTCGCTCCCTGGACAGTGGCATTTCTGTTATCCCTTTGCAGCCTCTCAGTGAGCACGTGCTGAGGGGAGCTGTCTCTGCCTGGGGTCACCACCTCCTTGTGACACCACGGCTGTGACAAGGTGGCTGCTGCTTTCCCTGTGGCGCGAGCCTCACCCGGCAGCCCGCAGGCTCCTAAATCATGGTGATCCTAAATCGCAGCTGCGCAGTACCCTGTCCTGTCGCCGTGCCCCCGGACGTGCCCCTCTGGAGGGCCCCTAGGTGGACAGTGGAACGCTGTGTGACCTCGGCAGGGCCTGCCACTGCCTCTCATTTTCTGCTCTGCCATCAGACGGGAGCACAAACGTAGCATTCCAGGCCCTGGGAGGCCCAGCGAGGGCCTGGGACGTGGGCACCTGGGACATGGGCACCGGGCACGTGGGCACCGGGCACGTGGCCGGCGGCTTCCGGCCCTTGTTCTGGTGGGGCTGTGGCTGCTGTTGTGTGGTCACCATTACTTGAGCCCCATCCCCCCAGCTGAAGTGTGGGGTTCTGCAAGCAGCCAGAACCCCACCCTCATTATCAGCCTCACTTGGCCCAGGAAGGGGGCCCTTAGCTCCATCATAGAGCCAGGCTCCAAGGGGGCAGGGGCCTGCCCAGGGTCACACAGAGGAGACAGGCAAGGGCTGGGCTTGCGCCTGGGTCTCCTGGCTTCCTGGGGG